ATGCTTTTGTCAGCTAGCATTTGTTTGTTTCTTATCTATTACAATGTTGGATGTGCAGGTGTATGTGAACATTCATTTGACCACACCTAGGGCTTGAACAGATCCGAAAAAAGGGTTTTTGATATCCATAGACGGAAAGGGAGAGGCTTCAGATAAGAAATCGATTCAGATCAAGTTTAGGTTTAGGTTTCGTAGCAGAAATCGATTTAAGGTGGTGGTGAAGGGCGGTTCATCAGATTCGAAAAAAATGATTTTTGGGTTCGTGAATGGTTTCTGGAAAATCAGGAAAAAAACAATTTATGGGTTCGTGAATGATTTCTGGGTTTGTGAATGTGATGTTCTTGTTCTTGAAATCAGGAAAAAGTGCTCTTGAGATTCATATTCTTGTATATTTATAACTACAGAAAAAACAAAAACGAGAGAGAGAGACCCTTTGTATATTTTATAATTATAAAATATTTAAGAAAAACAAAGAAAAATGAAAAATAAATATATTAAGGGTATAATAGTCTTTTTAGTTTTCTGAGAGACAAAAACGCAACAAACTGGATCAAGAAGACCATGAAGCTAAAAAAAATTGAGGTTTAGACTAAACCTCGGAAAAAGTGCATAACACATAGACCATTTTTGCAGTTTTGTCTACATTTAAATTTGCATGACAAATGAGAATCAATTTTTTTTTGTATTAATATAAATTACAGATACTATTTGCATTCCTTTTCACCTCAACAAAATGCCAATTTCTTGCATCCCATATATACCAAATAGACCCTCAACATCATGGTTATAAAACATCATTCTCAACCTCTTTTAATAACAAAATCCACAAGATTCATCTTTCACTATTAGTGTTCTAGAGTTCCAAATATAATCACCATAATACATAAACACTTGAAAACAAGTGCACCACGATAAACACATTGAACCCTCCATATTTTATACAACAAAAGACCAGCCAGGTTCAACCACTTGAACTTAATATATAAATATTTAGGTGAAGAACTGAATACCTCAAACAAAGAAGCAAAACCTATGAAAAGTGTGTAGTAATTTAAAACATGTGAATTTATTAATCCTCAATGCATGATGTGCTCACATTGAATAGTTCGATTTATTATAATACAAATTTAGTCCCATCGGTCTATTAACATTGTTTTATGATATTTTTGTATTTCTCAACTGAATCCTAGTTGTTTAAGGTTTGAAACTCATTCAAATCTTTTGACTTTACTTTTTCAAAGCTATTGAGGTGTATTCGTTTTTTTTATCGCTATAAACTCTTTACTCACATTTAGTTATGGCCTTTCTGATGACTAAGTACTCACAAAAATTTGCACCAATCTCTTTTCTTGGGTTGTAAAGAATAGGAATAACACCGAAGTTAAATCGGATTTTTGCAGGTAAGAAGAATAAACTATAAGTAGCTGAAGATGGCAGCAAATTCTGCTTCTAACTACTTTCATGGTATTTGCTTCAAGTTATACCCAATAATATTTTCATTAGAAATCTCAAACGTACCAATTAAGTTTCCAATATTCCACCGTTGTAATTTATGTATATTTTAACAAGTCATTCCTATTTTTCCATGCTTGAGTCCAACATTTACTAACATCACAATCTAGGTTAAGTCACTCTTTATCCTGTTAACACTGATAAACCCACATAATGGTAGCAACAAGTCTGAAACATTTGTTGAATGTGAAGCCACAATTGTTGAATGTGAAGCCACAATTGTTGAATGTGAAGTTTTTTCAAAGGTTGGCTGAAGACCCGGTTGTGTTTTTTGACTACTTCTGATTTCCATCTCTATATAAGAGATTCATCTGTATTTGTAAAACTTGTATCTAGTGTAACACAGAAAGAGTGCAGATTAGCACCAAGAAATGTAAATTCCTAGTTACCGGTGGACGTAGGTCAGAGAAGGACCGAACCACGTTAAATCCCTCATGTTCATCCTTGTGTTCTTGTTTTTCATGAGCTGTGTGTGTGTTTAGAGTCGTGTGTTAAGTGTCTCGATCCCAACAAGTGGTATCAGAGCTTTGGTTTTAGCTCCAGAGGGTGATTTTCTGTTTTTGGTCGAAATTCTCAAAAACGAATTTGGTGTAGATTGTTGGAAAGTTCTCGTTCCGCAGATTCCGAAAATATTTTTTCTGAATTTTTTTGACCACCGGAAGGCTCCTAAAATCACCGGGCAATGTACTGTAGTTGTCGGATTCACTGTAGCAGTCCGCCGGAGAAGACGACACTGTAGCACCAGATACTGTAGCAGTACGCCGGAGAAGAAGACACTGTAGCAGGCACTGTAGCACGACGTCAGCGGTGACGTCAGCAGACACTGTAGCACTACGTCAGCGGTGACGTCAGCAGACACTGTAGCAGGACGGTAGCACTACGTCAGCGGTGACGTCAGCAGACACTGTAGCAACACTGAAAATTTGCAATTTGGCCCCTGAATTTCCAGAAAATTGCAAGATAGGTCATTGTTCTTTCAGAAAATGGCAGAAAGCAGTAAGCTTCAGATTGAGAAGTTTGATGGGAAAGATTTTGATTGGTGGAAGATGCAAATTGAAGATTCGCTCATGCAGAAAGACTTGGACGCAGTTTTAGGTAAAAAACCGGAGGCGATGACACAGGTAAACTGGGAGACTTTGGATAAGAAGGCCAAGGCATTTATTAGACTGACGTTGTCAAAGGATGTTGCCTTCAACATTTTGAAGGAGACCTCGGCAAAGGGAATCATGGAGGCGTTGTCTAATATGTACGAGAAGCCGTCGGCAGCAAATAAAGTCTTCCTGATTCGGGAGCTAGTCAACACGAGGATGAGGGAAGGAAGTTCAGTTACAGTACACATCAACAATTTAAACTCGATTTTATCTAGACTTGGGTCAGTGGGAATAAAGTTCGAGGATGAAGTTCAAGCTTTACTATTGTTATCATCATTACCTGACAGTTGGTCTGGAACAGTTACAGCCGTTACTAGTTCCACAGGATCGAAAGGGCTCACTTTTGAGGGAATTCGGGATTTAATTCTAGGCGAAGGCGTCAGACGAAGAAATTCTGGGGAATCATCAAGTGAACAATTGAATGCGGTCAGAGGTAGAAGAAATAACAGAGGTAGTGGGAGCGGAAACAGGAGAAGGAGTCAGTCGAGGACTCGAAATGATGTGACTTGTTGGAACTGTAAAGAGGTTGGACATTTTAGGAATCAATGTCCAAAAGACAAGAAAGAAGTTAACGTTGCAGTAGACCATTCAGATGATGATGTTTTGATCTGTAGTATGGAGAGCAATGTGAATTCCTGGGTTATGGATTCGGGTGCTTCATTTCACGCTACCTACATCCGTGAAGCACCGCGGAATCTGAAAGAAGGGGATTTTGGTAAGGTAAGACTGGCGAACGATGAGGTTCTTGATGTGACGAGCATAGGTGACTTAGATCTGAAGACTCCAGTCGGTCCATGGACTTTGAAGGATGTCCGGGTAATTCCAAGTCTGAAGAAACAGTTGATTTCTGTTGGGCAGTTGGATGAACAGGGACACGAGGTTAAGTTCAGGAATGGGCAGTGGAAGGTTGTCAAAGGAAATCTTGTGATAGCTCGTGGACATAAGAGGGGCTCATTATATATGGTCAGTTTACCGTCTGAGGGAGTAACCATCCCAGTTCAGAAGAAAAACAAAATCCGGTTCATAGTGTCTCGTTGACAGAAGAAGGTTTGCTTTGCAGATGGCAAACCCAGAGTCACAGGTCAGATTCAGGTTGAACGTGTTTGGAACGGTTCAGAAAAACCAGTCAAGGGCATTCATAGCAGTGGGAGCATGGGCTTTGTTTCAGCTAGAATACCCAGAACACAGTGGGTTAAGAGAACCAGTATTCCATCTGTAAAAGTCTCTCCAGATTATCTGCTTCACATGGAGAGTTTCGTTTGTTCTCAGGATGTTCCAGGATCGGGCAGTTCATTTCAGTGGGAGCCGGTGGAGACAGAGAATAGGTAAATTGAAGAGAAGGCCGGGTAACTAGGAAGGAGTTAAGATCAATTTTTTAAAAATACAGATGCACAGTTGAAGCACAGGTGAAGATTGCTCCGTGGCTTCAAGTGGGAGATTGTTGAATGTGAAGCCACAATTGTTGAATGTGAAGCCACAATTGTTGAATGTTAAGTTTTTTCAAAGGTTGGCTGAAGACCCGGTTGTGTTTTTTGACTACTTCTGATTTCCATCTCTATATAAGAGATTCATCTGTATTTGTAAAACTTGTATCTAGTGTAACACAGAAAGAGTGCAGATTAGCAGCAAGAAATGTAAATTCCTAGTTACCGGTGGACGTAGGTCAGAGAAGGACCGAACCACGTTAAATCCCTCATGTTCATCCTTGTGTTCTTGTTTTTCGTGAGCTGTGTGTGTGTTTAGAATCGTGTGTTAAGTGTCTCGATCCTAACAACATTAAAATCAACATCCAACCAACAAACTAATTAGATCAGTGAGTAGCTTGCTATTTGATTCATACATTAACATCTTCATAGCAATCATGTTCTTGTTTAGTTCCTCTTCATATGATCAACAATTCTATCCTTGAATACTACTGACAGATAGTCAATTGGTTTAGATGGTCATCACCATTCAACGAGAGAAACCTACCAAACAATCAATGGGGTGTTGGAGCATTCACATCATCATGAAGAAGAAAAATACATCGGAAAATCATGAATTAGAAGGCCATTAATAGGCATTATGGAGAAGTGAAAATAGAATTTACCTTTAATGTTTACTTCACGTTAATGAGAGTCTTGGTCGTTTTTGAATTCCTGCATAAAATACATAATTATAAAGTTGAAAATATAGGTTGGGGATTTTGAGAACAACAAAAGAACTGCATGAAACTTTTCAAATGTTGTTCAAGAATGAGTAAAGCAAGAAAGATCTAGTTTACCTCTTGTTTGATCTTTATAAAGGAGTTGATGTCTTCTCCTGCATAAAATGAGCCACATCTTGTTACTATTTCTTTTAGCTTCGGAGTAGCCGAATATCCCTTGGTGAAGCCGTTATTGCTGGGCAGTAGTAGATTTCCAAAGTATCCAATAATGGGAATGAAAAATCCTCCTTCCCCAAGCTAAACCCCTTAAGACATGGAAGGTCATCTAATATCAAGGACTTTAGACGAGGTAACACAAGAATCTCATTCCTCTTGCCAACAGATTCTTCTTCCACAACACCACTTGCATCCTTGACAATGACCTCCTCCATATTGTAGCAGTACCTTACAGTTAGCTCTTGGAGTTGCAATAGACTACCAACCATGGAACTAGTAAATACATGATCTAACCTTTTGCAACAACCAATATAGAGACTTGTTAGGTTTGGAAACTCATAAACTGTCCACTGAGTGCTCTTCCCTATATACCTGAGATTATGTAACAAATCCAACCTCATTTCTCTTAGGTTTGGAATATTGACAAGAGTAGTAGTTTGTGACGGTCCATCAAAACCACGTCCACTACTACTTTTTCTATTTCTCCCTGCTACTTCCAATGCAGTTTCAAATAACTCTTCTACCATCTCACAATCACTCACACTAATATTTTCCAGCTTTTGCAGTTGCAGCAATTCACCGGATGGAATAATATTTTTAACATCATGATTCCGTTCAACATCTAATTCGATCAAGTTATGAAAATACCAAGGTATTGCTTCTGAAGTTGCAGGGAACGAAGTTGCACCATGTAAACTCGGGAAAGCGGTCTGCTGCGAGTCCAATAAAGAAAATGCCTAAGTAATATATATGTCAAACAAAAACATTTGAAATTTCATATATATTTTGTAAGTTTAACGAAATTGAAGAGATTGTAATTATTAGTGACCATGATATTTAACTCCAACTAAAAGTTATCAAACGGATAGCTATTTTTGATCTCATAAAGTATGTTAAATATGTAAGGCTATTTTGGACGCTTTTTCCTCGTTCAAAATGGAAAATTTTGATTCCAGGTGACAACATAAACATAAATTTTGATTCCAAGTGACAACATGCATGATATCTTTCATAATTATATGATGCCAAAGAAGTATCTTATACCTGATGATGCTGAACATGAAAGAACTTAAGGCCTGATTCATCAAGAGTATGTTTGCCTAATCCTGTGCGTATATACTTGAGTTGGAGAGTTGTGGACCCACCAGGTGCAAACACTCTCATTTGGGGGCATTTCTTGATGGTAACATTATCCAATGAAGGAAATGCGAACTCATTCATCCCCAAGAAGAAATCCTCCAGCTCTGGTAGATAACTTAGTTCAATGGACTTTAGACGAGGAAAGACCACAACCTTCTTAGAAGAAGATGATGATGATGATGCATCTTCTTCTTCTTTCTTCACAATCACTTTCATTGACTCGCAACTAGATATTGTTAACTCTTCAAGATGTGCCAGGCTTCCAATTGCAGAGAATGTGAATATATGTTCTAAACCCGCACAAACTACGATTTCCAATATCTTTAGATTGGGAAGCATAATAACATTGTTATTTACTCTTGGAATTCCTTCATTACAATCACTCTTGTTTTTGTTGCTGATCATCCCTGATTGAGTTTCAAATATCTCCTTTATCCCATTGCAACACCATATTCTCAGCACTCGAAGCTTTTGCATTTGTCCTGCTGCATAACATGGAATCACACTTGACAATGCAGGGCAGTTTTCTATTTCTATCTCTCTAGAGTATTGGCATAAGCTCCAAGAAACACCACCTGCTTCAGACAACTGCAACATCACAAGGAAAATTGATGAAATATTAAAGCATAGACACAGCTTTTGTATAAGACATTTAATCCAAAATCTTGTTTTTTTTTTTTTTTTTTTATACTAAATGACACGAGTGCTCTCCACATCAAAAATGTGGTTTTGGGTTTTGTTTTATAATTAATGTCGGGATTTACTGATGAGACAATAAAAGACATACCACTTACAAAAATTAGCTTTAGATAATATTATAAATTATTGGATTTTATGCTACAATACCTGTCAAGTGTCACCTGATGGCCCTATTATCTAAACTAAGTTACATTCAACTAATTATTAACTGCCTTTTTGTTTCTTACTCTAAGATTATAGCACATATCTTGGTTTTTATTTCGGCGAAATGAATGCAAGAATCTATGATGCTTGGTCACAGAAACAACTATAAAATTATAATCTATCATTATAAAATTACAACTATAAAAGGAAAAATTATCCAAAATAAACACAATTATGAAAATGGAAATATAATCAATGATGCTTGGTCACAGAATCAACAGAGGATTCACATAGAAAGGCAAACTTAATTAGATGCATGTGTGTGCATTTCTAATGAAAAATAAAAATAAAAAAGAAATCTCATCAGTAAATGATATGAATTATGATAAATAACAAATACAAGGTAATACTTGTTCGGATGAATGGAAATTTTTAGGCCTCCAAATCCAATTCTTGAGTTTGCATGGTAGGTAATACGTGTGCAATAAAGGTTTAAATCTTTAATATGTGATTTGGTGACTTTCATAGAATATTGCAAGGAAAAATGGATATTGTCAAAGAAATTAAATAAGTAATTGAATGCGCACAAAACATACCTTAAATCGATCAGGAAAAACGGTATTGTTGAAAGATATTTCAGTGTTCTCATCCTTGGCACCTCCTCCACCAATACACTTCAGATTGTTCATGTATTTTAGAGTGAGAGAATCAAGCTGAGGGAACAAAGTGGTGGTTGTGTGGGTAGATGTAGTCATTTTTTCATCCTCATCATCTCTGTTTGAAACAACTTCTTCGATACCATGACACCATTCTATGTGGACTTTCTTTAGGTTGGAAAAAAGTTCTGCCATGAGAGGTGAAAACAAGTACTTAATGCTTTTGCATTGGTACACATGTATGGTTGTGAGGTTGTGGAATGTTGATTCAGATTGTTGTTTTGGAAGATTGAAGAACCTATACCGGTTGCACTTCCATACATGGCTCATGTTGTCCATATTATATAGATATAATTCCTGGAGGTTGAGAAGTATAGGCTGTTGTTGGTTATGGTGAGTTGTTACCAATTCTCTACTTGTTGGATTCTCCATCTCAAACACCACCTTCACTCCTTCATACTTCTTCAAGTAAAGTTTATGGAGGTTATGAAAAGAGGGTATGAGACAGGATGGGAATGCAACATTAGAAATATTGCCAGTGATTTCTCGCAATGTCTCTTCCTCTGACAGAATATCAGTCTGCGCATATATATATATATATATATATATATATATATATATATATATATATATATATATATATCCCAACAAGATATGTAATTAGTAACTTCACTACTGAAGTGTGTAGTAAATGATTTATAACTTCACGTCCATTCACAATTCTCTCTTATAATTTTGGATTTGAAAAATATTTCTTTGATTTTAGGCAATTTTTCAAGAAACATTTGCAAATGATGAAAATTCTCAACAAATTAAAAAAGTGTTGGAGATAAATAATTAAAAGATGTTATATGCTCCTATGAAACAAGAAAACATATTTTAATTAAGATGTGAACTATTTTCAAACAAGAGACAAAGTTGGTTTGAAATTGAGTTCATAAGCTTTTCATCAATTAAAGGGTTAAGTTTATTAAATTTATCGGCCCATCCCTATGCTTTTCATCAATTGAAGTTGAAATCATTCCACTTGCTATCAATATCAAGAAAAATGATGAAAGGATTTTATACACGCATTTAGCTTCAGCTCTCATCTATCTGCATTATGTTGGTTGAGTTTTAAGCTGAATCGATTCCAGAACATAAAAGTTGTTGGTGATATTCAAAAGGCAGGAGCTTAATCCTTAATTAAGTAAGAAAGTGCAATTGAAATCCCTACCTTTTTCTCTTGGCTACTCTCTTTCGATTCATTGAATCTCCCTGTTTCTCCTCCGCAATCTTCAATCTGAATCTCCAAAAGTGCCCCCACATCAAAATCGGTGGTGATAGGTGTGAATACATTTCTAAACCTCTCACATTTCCTAATCCTTATGCTTTCAACAACTTGAAAGCCACTGACAAGGGAATGAGATTTGTCTGCGCCTTTTATCCTCCACACCTCTGTTAGCTTCCCTAAATTCTCCACTTTGATGCTTCTTAAGATGCTGTTGTTGTCTTCTTCTCCAATTGCACCAACACAATCCAAGTCGATGTTGAATAATGATGCAATCGAACCACATTCCGTGACTTCAAGCTCTTCAAGATGATGCAACAGAGACATGGGATTGTGCAGGAATAGATTCAAAAGTTTATCACAATTTCTCACTTTAATCTCTCTCAGCTTAACTTTCTCGCCTCTACTAAGTTCACAAGGCCATATTTCAGCTAAATTCTCCATGTCATCAATTCGAAGTGTCTCCAACTTAGGAATCACAACCTGCAAAATAATCATCCATTAATAGCCACATCCAAACAATAATACATCATATAATCAAATTACACATATAGTCTAAAACTTTTAGTTGAAAAGATTGTCTAATAGTATAAACATAAAACATATATATATATATATATATATATATATATATATATATATATATATCCACCTCTTCCTTCAACAAACTAGATGTTTCCAACTTGTTTTGTGGATAAATGCTTGTGAAACCTGGAATGCCCTTAAGTTGCAACTCTACAAGTTGTGGTAGCTTAATTATGTTGACATTATTACACAAACTTAATAGTTTCGGTAGTTCACGCAAAGATAAAAATTTCAGCTTGGGGAACATAATTGTCTCTTTTCCACTACCCCTAGTAACATTATGTACGAGTTCTTCCATATTATCACATTTGTAAACTTCTAGATGCTCAAGCTTTGACAAAGTGTTTGCAACACGGAGTTTGAATAGGTATGTCAACACTGCACACCCAGAAACGACAAGGACTCTTAAATTGCAAAATGTAGAGGATTGAGGATTCGTCAACTTCACCTCAACATCTTCAAGATCATTCATACCATCTACGCTTAAACAAAGCACCTCTGTTTTCACAAACAACTCATTAAGTTTATAGTCTGATATTTCACCTTTATTGGTCACCAACTGCAATGTGTTTTCATATGAGTGGGCACTCTCACTGATATCTCCATTTAAAGAGCGTCCCACTGAGATCTTGAATCGTTCAAGATTCTCAAATGACATATTCTTCACTTGAGCCTTGTTATTAAAGAACTCAAATTCTAACGCAGAAAGCCTGTTTGATCGCTCTGCCATCTCATTGCAGTTATACTCGCTAAACGCGGATGCATTTCCAATATAAAGTTCTTCAAGTTCGACCAAATTTTTCAAGACACCCTGTTCTATACAAAGACCATCACAATCTCTCAGGTCAAGTTGCCTAAGCTTCTTCAAATTTCCGATTGCTGAAGGTATCCGTTCAATGCCAGAATTAGCAAAGCTCAGCACTTCCAGATTCGTCAAATTTCCGATACAAGAGCAATCAAGCATCCATAATGAACACTCATGAAGATGAAGCACTCGAAGGTTGGTGGAGCATTGAGGTGACGAGGGAAGCAATGGATACTTCATTTTATGGTATGATATTACCTGGAGCTTTTCCATTCCTTCATAAAAGTCTTGAGAAAACCTTAACGTCTTATCTCCATGCATAAGTTTCAAAATCTTTAGGTTTGGAAACTTGAGGTCTCCTGGAAACTCAGACACACTCTCGCATGTTAATGAAACTGTTTTGCAAGAGTCGTTCATATCATTTTTAGTCCACCCATGCATATTACCATGGTTGACAATTGAAGCATGCTCGACTTCAGAATACATACCCAAAACAAAAGCACGCACCAGATCATGCATCTTGACACACCCAACATCATCACTTTCAATTAACAAATTTGTCTGCACAAGTCGCTCAATGCAGGTGTTGAGCCTGGTTCTTGCTTCTCTAATTGTATAAACTCTGTCAAATAGCTTTAAGCCCCATCCATACCTCATCAACTCCTCGGTAGGAATATCGAAGTCTTCAGGAAACAAACCACACATCAAAAACACGGATTTAGTCTCCCCGTCTTGGAGATTGTGATAGCTTGTTTCAAAGACTTTAGGCGCAACACTACGAATGTCATAGTGCTCTATACGTGAAAGTGCATCCTTCCATGCATCCTTTCTTTTATTTCTTAGAGTACACGCCATGGTTTTGATGGCAATAGGTAGACCGCAACACTTTCTTACGATAACTTCTCCTATCTTACAGAGCTCGGGCTCAGAAGTTTCTACAAATTGCTGGAACAGACTTTGTGCTTCTACTTCAGTTAGAAGTCCCACATTAATAACTGAATTAGCTTTAACCCCCATCATTGTGCAAACGTGTTCGTCTCGTGAAGTCAACAAGACCTTGAAGTCGACACCTTGATTTGGAAAAGGACTTAAACCAATATCTTCCGGATCAACGGACTGCCAGACGTCATCAAATATAACAAGGAACTTATTCTTACCGTCTCCAGAGTTGGCCTTGAACCATTCACAAAGCTTATTAGCTCTTGCTGGTTTAGTGCTTTCTTTTAACTCTATACGAAGGTAATCGGCTACAGCTTGTTGAATAGCAATTGGGTCTGTCTTTTCCCCTATAACTGCCTCGACCATGTAACTGAACATTCTATTTTCTTTGGCAACCTTCTTCAGTCTTTGCATCATTGTGGTCTTCCCCACCCCGCCCATCCCACATAACGCTATCATGTGGGATGTGTTGTTTGGTTCAAGTGCTTTCAGTGCTTGAGTAAAAGTTTTTTCTCTCGACTCAAAGTCATCGTGATCAGTTGATGGTGTGGTGGTGGATGCCTTCATGGTATCAATTTTTCCCAAAGGAATGGGATGATCGGTCCAGGTGATCAAAGAGTGTTTTCTTGTGGCACTTTCAATCTCCTCAATTAGTTTGAAGGTCTCCCTTCCGACTGTGTGTCTACTCTTGAGACTGCAACAAGCACCGACATCACTAGGAGCAGTTTTTACTTTTGCATCGATCTTTTCTACTTCTTCCAACCAACTCCTAACTTGAAATGAAATCTCAAGACGAGTTCTTATGTTCCTGTCCAAGTGGTCTTCTTCGGCGTGTCTTAGAGAATCCAACTCCCCCATTTTTCTTCTCATATCCCTCACATGTTGGGTGCTGGAAATGAGGTAGCCTAGATGCTTCTTAACAGGTTCCATAAGTGTCTCGGCAACTGGTTTAAGAATGGCACTAACAACATCCATTGCAGGAAATTCTTCTTTGTGGAAGTATCTACATAGTAACCAACAATTTGTCAGATGAAATTGGATGAAAATTTGTAATTTCTTGGGCATTTAAATGCATCCTAGATTCATTGCATTGAGTAAGGTTTGATTAGCTTTGTATGATGTAATTGTAATATAACTCCATCCCATAATCTAAAATGAACTTAAAGATAAAGTTAAAAAAAAAGTAATAGGAATCAGGAAAATGGTTTATCATTGATTAATTAGAAAAAAAATACCAAAATATGATTATTTTAAAATACATCGAACACTTTAACTGTAAACTTGCAAGTTCAACTTGTGCCTTTTTGCACAAGAAATTCAAACAAAAGAGGGATAAAAAACGGATCTGAATAGAGGCACAAAGATAACAGGAGAGAGGTTATTGTTTAAGTAATCAAAAGGACCTGCTTCACGTCTTCTGTAACTTATTCACAAAGGTACTAACAGGAAGAAATAGAGGCTGCTTTTCATTTACACCTTGTGCACTACGTTGAATCAAACAGAAGAACATGACAGAAGTGAACGAACAGGGGAAGTAAACAAAGTAACTATAACTTGGAGACTAAGTAACTATTGACTGAAAAACTTGTTCTGGAATAATAATAAAACAAAGCACGTAATACCCCTACTTATACTAATTCTAAAAGAGTCTTACTCTAACACAAAAAACGCATAAAAAGTAAACTTTCCTAAAATGCCCCTGGGCTAAATCTCTCCAGTTTTTTTCTGAAAGTTACAGTGAGTACCTATTATTCTTCAAAAGATAATGAGCAAGTTGCAAAGCTACTGATTCAGTAACAGAGCCAAGAAAGAAACTTAATAATTTCCTAGAGGCGATGGTACAACAGTTTGCAAAGCAGTATTTCGGGATGAGCAGCCTGATACGTGTATGGTGTGTCAAAAATAATCCAGCTAGATTCAAGAGCTACAGCCCCCCGATCAAGCTCACCTTTGTTGCAGAATCGGAGTGGAATCTGAATCTAGGAAAGAAAAAAGTGACGTTGGAAGTTGGAACTTGAACTTGGTGTAGTCGGAAGTAACGACTGAAGTGAACGGTAATGAAGTTGACTAGGTCTTCAAATTAGAGTGATACCGACTGCTCAGATGTGCGTGCGTCGTGCGTGTTAGAAAGAAAATAAAAAATCCAGTCCATCTCATATTTTGGGCTAAAATAGCCAATGGGTTGGCCCAGTTATATTGCTTAAAAATTGAACCAAAATCTGCAACCAAAAGTATAACCATATATATCCAAATTCTTTCTATCTATATATGCAAATATCATATTCCTTCTGTCTCAAATTAATTGTCGTCTTTTGATTTTTGAAGTTTTTTTTCCTTAATTTTGACCTTAAATATTTTTATTTGTGTTATATTAGTTGATGAAACTTATAACAATGAAAATACATTTAAAATACAATTCATTCATATATTTTTCATCAAATATTATCTATCAAAAACAAAAATATTTAAGGTCAGAGTTGAAGAATAAAGATTTCAAAAATCAAATATAGAAAATTAATTTGGGACGGAGGTAGTATGATATTTCGGTCTATATATGCGTAACTTTTGGGACTGCTATTTTGGACCGACATTCCTAACCTATATTATTTATAGGTCCAATATTTTTCTATTTGATATCACTAGTGTTGTTGACTGCACCATAAAAAAAATTAATGAAAATATGAGGTCCACTAGTTAATGAATTGCCCAATAAGCATGACTTATTAGCGAGAAGGACTGTTAAAGTTCTTCCCCTATTTCTATTAAGTTAGGGAAAGTCGGAGTTCATTGCCGGTGTGAGATAAAAATGAAACCTAGAGAGTCGATGTCTTGTTTTTTGAGAAAAACAGTAATAAGACACTGGAAAAATGGACGGTTTATGGAGAATGTGAATGGTGGTAATAGCGAAGGGGATGGGTGATAAGAAAGGGGACAGACCGTGTTGATGGTAGCAAGGGAGGTCAAAGATGGGTGCAAATTTAAGGAATTGGCAGCAACATGAACATGATGTTGGCCGGATACGGGTGCGATGGCTCCAAGATTAAAGAGCATGGGAGCATTAGCGGACTTATGTGGAGTTCGAGGGGGGTCCCGGGCCACTACTCTGATTCTGATCGTCAATGTAAATAAATTTTATTAGGTACAACGTATTGAAATATGAGTGTCATTATTATTTTAGATTTGTTCAGAATTTTTTTTTGGGTGTCACCACTACTCAAATTTTCTGCGTACGCCACTACATGGGAGACAAGCGTTGTACGGATACATAGACATCGTCACCAAGCGTTCTACAAGTATAGACATCATCACCTACAAGGGTACGCCAAGAATATATATATATATATATATATATATATATATATATATATATATATATATATCAGAGGCAGTGTTATACCCAAACAGAATTTATTACGCAGCAAACAAAAATGTTTATTAATAACAATCACAACATGTTTACACCAGATTTCGTTCTTATATATACACACTATGATACTGCTTTTGAACCATCACAACCCTTTAGAGAACCGTAGTACCCCTTCAAGAAGACACCAACTTTAAAAGCGTAGGTTCTTTTCTAGTAACCGTCAAGTAACTATAAATGATAATAAATATTGACCAATTTGTCCATGTCTATAATGCATTTAGCTTTTTATCAACGTCAACTAAGAGCATCCACAATGCAAGTAGTATAAGAGTTGAATAGGGTGGTGATTAGGATTGAATAAGAGTTGAATGGAGTGTGGGTGATGACATGGAGTAGAGTTGAATGGAGGAGTTCAATGATCATTGAATGGTTCAATAGAAGGAATAAATTGGTGATTAGGATTGAATATGTGTTTAATGGGTTGTGGGTGATGTTGTATAGATGATTAATGGATAATGTGGCAATCCATTGAACTCTATAGAGTTCAATGGATTGTGGATGCCCTAAGTTATGTGAATATCTTCCTCAATTTTCTGACACTAAAAGCCATCAACTTCAGTCTCGATATTACAATCAGACCGATAGAGCAAAACTAGTGTTTCCATGTAGGAATTCATACAAAATGTTCCAGTTGCTTCATAAATTCCAATATCATTGAAGCATTCTAAGTTGGGCTCATAGGCCACAAGTTCACTCTGTCCAGCCTATTCTTGAATCTACAAATACATCCACAAGCCCACTGACTGAGCATACCTTTCTGTACGATGCCCGTATTGCTGAAATGGCTTGTACGCTGCGCGTACTAGCGTGTACGCCCAACGTACTCTCCTGTTAAGCCCTTTTCTCTAAAGCTGATGAATCCCTTAAGACACAACGTCCAAACTACAGATCTGAGTCCAATACTTCTTCCTAACCTATAAAGTCGATCACTTGGTGGCCTGCAACCCACCAAATGAACCCAACACTTAAAATAGCAATAAACTTTCATGGAAATGGCTAGATCTCTTGCATGGCTACATAAAGACCTCAAATCTTGCAACTTTACTGCTAAAGGAACACTTTGAGCTTCAAGGGTGGCAACTCTAAGCTCAAAAGCGAAGTTGCATGAACAAGATCCATTCTTTGGACCTAAAAAGGTCCAAATCTTCAAAACCCTAGATCTAAGCTTCTAAGAGGAAAGATAGGAGCTGTATACCTCCTTTGGGTGCCAAAAGATGAACTAGTTCAACATCCTTGAGCTCAAGATACTCAAGTGCTTCTTCCTCCAACTTCTCTTCACTTCTTCCAAGCCTTTCTTCACCAAAATAGACTCAAAAAGGTCAAGCACACAAAACAATGGAGTATGAGACGAACTAGGGTTTTCTAAGGGTGAGGGACTGGTGAGGAGGCCAAAGGGGAGGCTATAATGGGATATTTATATGTCTTAAACTCTAAAAATTAGGGTTTGGCATCTGCCAGCGTACGCTGGGCGTACCTCTTGGTATGCTGCGCGTATGCCCCCGAGTCCCTCGAATCCAATGTGGCCACTACTCCCATCGTACGGCTTATGGGCAGCCCAACTTCTTGGCCCAGTTTGCTAAAGGTCCACTCCAAAGGGTCCATTGACCAATTGTTAGTCCAAAACCCATATTAATTTATATAATTTAAATAATACCTCGAGAGACAGATGTTACAATTCACCCCCACTTGAATCAGACTTCGTCCTCGAAGTCTGCTGCTGCTGAATCCGGAAACAACTCCGGGTAGTGCTCCCTCATCTCCTCCTCGGACTCCCAAGTCCACTCCGAACCCTTCCGGTGTTGCCACTGTACCTTCACCAACTCGACTCTCTTATTTCTCAACTCATTCGTCTTACGATCCAGGATCGCCAGTGGCTTCTAAATGTAATTCAGGCTGTCATCAACCTGAATGTCCTCCAAGGGTACAACCGCTGTCTCATCTACTAGGCACTAGGCACTTTCGTAACTGAGAAACATGGAAAGTGTTGTGGATATGGCTGAGCTCGGCTGGAAGATCCAATCGGTATGCTACCTTGCCCACCCGGGTTATGACCCTGAAGGGGCCGATGTACCTGGGGCCCAGCTTGTCCCGCCTCCGAAACCGGATAACACCCTTCCAGGGTGACACTTTCAGGAGGACCATGTCACCCACCTGAAACTCCAAATCTGAACGTTGTCTGTCGGCATAACTCTTCTGCCGATTCTGAGCAGTCTGGAGTCTGCTCCAGACCTGATGGTGTTGGATTTTTATTCAAAAATCCGGTTTCACAATCGATAAAATTGACAACGAAAGCTTTAAAAATGTTGAATAAAACGAAAACTATTTTACCCACCAATGATCATTTTGCAAGAGTTAGGAAGATTAAAACAACCATAGAAGGGAAAGCATAACAAACTTTGAAGACTTTGATCCTCATGGGAGGTTGGAAGTTGATGAAGTGTGGCATGAAACTCTAAAGCAAAAGTTTTCTACAAGTATCCACCAAGCAAGAGTAGAACCATCAAAACATGCTAGTATTCACTTGAAGTGGTTGTTCATAAGGTGAAGCAACAAAGGGACATAAATATAGCACCACTTTACAAGAAAATAGAGTAGAAAGGAACGCCTAAATCTCGAAACTTTGGCAGCCCTATATGAGCACCATGCTCATGGTTTTGGGGCTCCAAAAAAAGAAGAAGGAAAGGAGAAGAAGGGAGAAAAGAGCACTTGAAACTCTCCATATATATGCCCATATATACTTGAGCAAAGAACCAAAGGTCCATACCTTCCATCTTGTCAAAGCATGGGTCTTAATCATGCTTGAATATAATAATCAAAAAGCCATCCCCTAGCCATGCTCTTGTCTTTTCGGTCATCATTATGTTTAAAGAGGGCATGGTGTGTTCATTATTATATTCCCATGACTAGACATATATATATATATATATATATATATATATATATATATATATATATATATTTATATAACAAGTAACTAGTGTTATATAAATATCTCTTTTATATAAAACTAACTTTTATATAAATAAACTCTAACTAGTTTATAAAGATATAAATATATCTTATAAATAATCATACTTTATGATATATTTCATAAGTTGTTATTTCTCCAATAAATATTATTTCCACAAATAATAAATTCCCAATTAGTAAATTATTATTTCCATGAAATAATAATTTTCCAATTAAATACAAGTGTTGATATATTTATCAAATTATACTAATAAATAATAAATTGACGGTAACTTGCTATATGGTGTGACCCTATAGGATCATATATTATTAGCAATATCATTTTATAATGACTCTTGGGTATACTAGATCTTTCAATCTCTCACTTGCACAAGACTCATCATAGATTGATATAGACAGTGGTGAACGTCTAGCAACATTTCACTGCCCCCAATAACATATGACGAAGAATGTCATTCATCAACATCCAATTCCCAAAAGCTCTAAGCTTCAATTGATGTATTAAGGTAAGTTTATCAATTATCCTTTTGTTACAGACATCCTGTTGAAACATGAGCCTTGGATCGCAATCAATCTCATTTGTAATTCAACTTTGGGTAACGCGCGTTAGATGTCTAAATCTCAACGAATAAGAGGAATAAATCCCATCTTGACTACATAAGCCTCTTGCATAGTTCACACCATACCCGAATATGACTTTTATAACTGCCCGGTCAAGGAACAACATTTGGCCATATCAAAGCACAGTACTCCCTATACTTAAGTCCCACTATGTATCTCAGGTGCTAAGGACACAAAGATAGTACTTTTTAATCAAGTATCACTCATAACTGCGATCTATGAGATGATCTTGATGCGGGTCTGTTCAGTACTAGTTCTATGACAAGTACCTATGAAACTTGGTTACAACTTCTTGCCTACTTTCATCTGGTGAGAGTCAACCAATCCTTTTTCATATTAGTCTTACTTCATAATTGCTCCCACAATCATGACTGACTATGAACCTTTAGAATAATAAGATTATTCATGGATTAAACATGTTAATATAGAACACAACAAGTATTAATGTAATGATCATATCCCGGTATATCAAAAACATTATGTAATAGTACGTTGTTGTTACAATGTTCCAATATCCAAATACTAAATCCAAAACCAAAATCCCATTTCTAGAATAATAAAAGTCTTATGGCTTAAGTGTGACCACTCATACTTAGCTTTAAAAGGAAAGACTTTATTAATGGTTTTGACTAAATTTAATTTGTATGAATTTCACGAATACTATATCTTTATATTTGACTTTTACTCTAGGTATAGTTAAATATCTTGGAGAATATGATTGGTTTTCTTTCGTGACATAGAGTCCCTTAGCTTGATTAAGTCAACTCTCGAAATCACAAATATTTCTATTTGATCCTTGAATGGCAGAAATCAACATAGTTTTTCAATCAACTCATTCATCCAAACATATTTGACTTCAACTTTAAAAGTTGTGTATTCTTATTTTGTAGTAGATCGTGTCATTATGTTTTGCTTGGACCTCATTCCAACTAAACTTACTCTTCATTCCAAAATGAAGTCATAATCCAATTTTAATTCATAATTATCTATATTTATTTAGAAATCAAAATCCTATGTAGCTCTTTACATTAAG